TGATTTTTAAAACCCCTGCACATACATTTCCTTACCTTTTTCTTTCCTCAATACCTGTGTAACCAACACTGACAGTTCAATTCTCAATCTTCAGTTTTATAAAGTATGGTAAATAGGAGTGCAATTATGGCTTGAGAGAAACCAGACTGGAACCAGACTGAAAGGTAAACCAAAACACCTTTCATCTCAAGCCCAAGGGAGCAGTGAAATGTCCCTTTGACAAGAGGGGCTGAAAAAATAAAAGCCATCACACAAGCCACAAGTCACACTAGAAGTTCTTCGGGAAGTGTAATTGTATGGGCTGATGTTAAATGCCAGAAGAGGAGGACTGAATTGTTGCAGCTTTCACATTTGTGCATGTGTAGAAAAACTACACGAGAAAAAAAAAAAGAATAAGGCACTGGACATGCCAGCATAGACAGGTGGAATAAGTGAGGAAAGCAAGGGAGAAGGTTCTGGTGCTGAATACTGGTTGACCTAAGACATGGAACTATGAGAATAACTGAACTATTAATTAACAGTTTCCTTGTGTTTGATTCCTGCCTGTTTAGAGATTCTCAACTATATTTATTTTTTCAAATGAATGGGGTTTCTTTTAATATCTGAGTACATCACCAACCCCTCTTATCCATCTTCCATGCTATGTGTGAGATCAAATTTTTAAGTTTCCTCTCCTCATCTCCTTTAAGACCCTCTCTGGAAGAAAGTGAAGGTCAAGTCACAGAAAGCAAAATCTGAAAAGCACTTTCCTAACTCTCTGATGTCTGTAAACCAGAAGTAATGGTGTGAAGAAAACAGAATAAAGTGCCAGTGCAGAAAGGACTGTCTCTTAAGAGAGCAAAGCACTGGTCTGCAAGAGATGTCCAGAACTGACAAACCAGAAATAACAGGATGTGAGATTTCACATTTTCACATTTTCACAAACCCAAAGTATGAAATTACCACATTACAGAAAAGAGTGCAATGTAACCAAAACTACATTGAGAAAGAAAAGAGAAAAAAAAATCCATTTTGAGCACCACAGTTAATGACACTATAACTCTGATGTAGAATCTTTTAGGAATTTGACATACCATTTGGAAAATATATTGCAAATTTTCAACTGTTTAAAGCAATTCAAGATTTAAGTCAGGCTTTTCTCAGACAGACGAAATGCAGTACAAAGCATCACACCAATGAACTGCATTTTGTGACTAGAAATTTCCAAAGTTTCTACAAAGTGCATTCTGTCATGACACAAAGAATTACTGCCAAGTAAGCAAAGGCATCAACCTATTTGATGTCCTTTTTTTCACTCCTGCAAAATCCAATAGATCTTGATCCTCAACAAAAGAGTTGTTTTGTGTACTGTCTCCTTCCCTTCCATGACTCTCTGAGCCCAGCCTTTCTTACAGGGAAAAGAGCTTGGACATTAACAGGCTGCATGGCTTGGTCTGAACTCCATAAACTGCAGCCAGCTTACCCTGTGGTACATGGTCTTTGTGGTTTATTTCTTATCTTTCCTGCCAGTCTCCTTGCTCAAATCCCCTCCAACTTCTCAACATAGCTTGGATTTTTTTTTTTTTTTTCTGTTAGCCTGCCTTTTCAACATGCAGTCATCACTCCAGTAAGCCCCAAAATGACTCCTTTTTTTCTTCCTCTTGCCTGCATCTTTCCCTCACTAGGAACTCCTACACCCTGCTGCTGATTTCCAACCATCTTTCTCCCACAAAAAAGCATATACTTTTTCAGAAAATGACAGTGATAAGATACAAATAGCCCCCTCCTGGTCAGTATTTCCTCTTTAAAAAAACCTGCTGGGTAGTCTTGTTAAAAAGCCCAAAGTAGTCTAAGCCGACAGTTCTTCACTATATGAAAAAAATAGTCATAGAAATGTCAGTTTGATTTTCTACAAGCTATGACCATGTCTAAGATTAAAAGCAGATGATCCCTTGCAATCATGTTCATATATTTTAGCAAGGCTGCTCTTGCACAAAAAAACATAAGACACTGACCTAAGAAACCCAAATTAAGCACTAAATCAGCATGATCGCAGTTTATCCAAACTTGTTCAGAACATTTTGAGATTTTTTGACAAAACGATTGCTTGACAAGTGCTTTCTTCCAGCACATGTTGCCTGTTCTCCCACAAGCATCATGGTGTTACTTGCATTTTTGCATAACTTACAGGAATGCTGTCATGGGTTTATGAGTGATAGAATCCTAATTGTGAAATTAGGTGATCTACTAATGCACAGACATGGCATGAACAAACATGGGATAGTAGCCTGTGCCTCCCTCGCACCAAAATGTGGTGACAAAGTTTTGCACATTGTTGCACGTTGTAATGCAGCCAAAACCCAACTAAATTAGTGGCAGGAACGGCTTGTGCCATTAAACTAAACTCAGAACAGTTTTACAACAATATAAGTCAATGTTGTTACTTTTCCAGTTTACAGCTGTCTCTAGGCCAAAGTTGGAGCACCAGTAAGAAGAAACCCACAAACATTTCTTGGAACCGTATATAGGTTTTATTAGTACTTTGTATAGAACACATATTTCTAACGTTTTCCCATGTCATCATGTAAGAAACATCTTACAATAAACATCGTGCAATAGTTAAAGTCTAGTAGAAAAAAGTAAGGTGAGAGAAAAGCACAAACTCTAAAGATGAGATTCTACTTTGATCTTGTGCACTAAATAAAACAAGTAAATATTTATTGAAAGAGGGTTGGTAGGAAAATGGGCTGATAGTAAAAGCTGTATCTAGAAAATGGAAATGGATTCAAGAGTGAAAGCAGGAAATGATCAAAGGAACTCACAATATACTGCTAAGGGGGAGACAAAGGAACAAATCGTTCTTTTAAACAAATGCAAATGTATCCATTAACGGCTATCCCTATTATAACACTACAGCTCTGTGCCCTTGGTACAAATTGATCGTAGTGGTTTGAGCGTCTTTCACAGGGCTCAGATAAAATAGCGTGGAAAATGAAGGGCTGTAAAAATGATGGAGTGATAATTCAAAGCATCTGTGACTGAAGATGTATAAACAACAGTAAAATGGCTTAAGAAACATCAGCTGCCAAGTAACTCTGAAGCGAAGAGAGAGGAGGAAAAACCTCAAAAATATGACATTGTCTTTCTTTGTTTCCCATTGGAGGGACTCAAATGTTCTGGATACAGCTGTACTCCTACAAGTCTGAGAACATACTGTACTTTAAGGAGCTGAGAAATATCACAGAAGTCAAAACAACGGATTCACTAACCTAGATATTATTTAATCAGGGGGAAAAAGAAAAGTCTGACACAGGATTTTTTCAATCAATTCTGTCCAACTATGTAATATTACATATACGACTCACCTATGATACATAGAATCATAGAATCATAGAATCAATCATAGAATCATAGAATCATAGGATCATAGGATCATAGAATTGGTTGGTTTGAAAGAGGCACTAAAAATTGCCTTGTTCTAACCCCCAGAAACACCTGTCACCAGACCAGACTGCTCAGAGCCATCCAGCCTGGCCTGCAACACTTCCAGGGATGGGACAGATACAGCTTCTCTGTGAAACCTGTTCCAGTTACTCACCAATCTCAGAATAAAGAATTTCCTCCTAAGATCTAATCTAAAAGTGCTCTCTCAGTTTAAATCCATTCCCCCTCATCCTGTCACCACATGCCCATGGAAACTGTCCCTGTCTTGTAGGCTCCCTTCAGGTACTAAAACATCACAACTGGGTCGCCCAGAAACTTTCTCTTTTCCCAACTGAATAAAATTCTCCCAGTCTTTTTCGTGATAGTGGTGCTCCATCCCCCTAATTATCCTGGTGCCCCTCCTCTGTATTCCTATCTCAACCCATGAGCTTTTTGTCATGTTTTTCTGCCCTTTGCTCTTGATGAGGAGGTAATGACGGAACGGCTTGGTGGGAACTGGCAGCCAGTCAAGGTCAACCCACCACAAGGTATTCAATGTACTATTACTTAGAACTTTATAAAACATTTAATATAACACCACAAAAAAATCTAAATTACAAACTAGAAGGCTACAAAATACAATAACATAAATTAAATGGATGAAAAAAAAGAAGTACAGCTCATAATCTGACAGAGAAAATTACATCCTATAGGAATGCCTCACCTTGAAATGCATGAAATCACAGACTGTTTTTCTGCTGCCACAGAGAGCACAGCTACGGTTTCTATTTTATGTTAGTCCAAACTGGAGCAATATGAGAGTAAAGTAAATTTTGACAAAATGGAAAATCATACCAGGAAATTTGAACTCCAAAGAGAACATAAGAATCACAGCTAGAAAAAAGCTGAACATCAGTTCCCAGGTCAAGAGGGCCTACCTGACTGGATAAAAAGAGAAATTCTAAGGACTTCAGCCACCCGCCATAAGCACTCTACAACTACCTTCCAAGCTGGTGTCAATACTTTAGCTGGTAAATCAAAGGAAAATTGAAAAATCCACCAAAAGTAACAAAGTTGTAAAGCATGCTTTATGACAAACTGCAGAAGTTAGGTCTCCTTTATTTCTCAAACAGTAGGGTAAAACATTGTAAGTACCTAACAAAACTTTAAAAATCTCCACATATCATAAGTAATGTAAACATAACACCATCAAGCGGGAGCTGAAGCTGTTTAAAGTCAGTACAAAACTGACTACAGGTCATAACAGAATCTCCCTGACTGGCATTTGACATAAGACCCTTTTCTCTAATAACTGAATTCAAGTTCACAAGATTACTTTACTCTGCTACCATTCAGACTAGATGATCACATTTTCCAAGGTCTTAGATGCTGTAAATTTACAAAATTAACCATGTGTCAATGTGGGTAGCTTTAAGTTTTCAATCTAACATTTAGGGTCCCTGAAAAGTGGAATAATGTGCTAAGAAAACAGATATTCATTTCAAGTCATTTTTATATAAGATTTTCTCAAAGATGTTACATGCAGGTTTGACAAAATATATCTTCAGGTTTGGTTTTCTTACAAACTTAACACAGACTTTCACATACTAATTGTGTTCCGTTTTATTTACCATTCTTTCTTATCTTAAAGCATAAAAAACTCCAAAGATTTTGTCTCTAGGAAGAGGTTCATTGAAATTCCAGTATAGAATATTGAACTCATTTTCTTTTCCTTTTTTTTTCCTCCCCTTCTATGGTTATTGCCCCCTGAAAAGAAGAACAGTTAGAGTGAGCACTTGAAGGTGATAGTCTCTAGACCAGCAATATGCAGTGAGCAAGGACCTTGAAATGAGGGGGAAATGTGCTAGTTTCAGGCTGCTCTGAGAAAGAGCAGAAATGACCAAAACTCCTGAGGCTGCTAAGCTGCTGCCTGGAATCTCCTGTTGCTGAACACAATCTGGCACCAGTAAACTGACCAAAACACTAAAAGCAGAAAAAATACATGGAGCTCATACAAAAAGAATGGCAGTTTAACCATATGCACCTTTAGATTCTGCCAAAGTATGAATGAGTCTTCTCTGCCCAGCAAATATTCACTGATTCTTAAAGAAAGCTTGACAGAATAATGGTTTATTTTATATGCTTTTAAATGTGTTTAAATTTACATCATAACCTAGGAGTGCAAGAGAACTATTACAGGAATCTGGTGTTGGGCAAGCAGCTAAGTAAAAAGCTAATTTACAGCAACTCTCCCACAATAAGAGATAGTGTACAAAATAAACCAGAAACAGATTTTTTTTTTCCTGACTTCTTAGTTGATGGGGACATCATCTGGGAGAAATAATTATAGTATTGCTAAAACTAATAAATCAACTTTTATGAAGATATTTACATGAGTGATAATATTCAGAAGCACTACAAGATGAGACAGAGAACCAACACAGAAAAGGCTGCTGAAGTTGGCAGAAGATACTGTTTTTAAAGGCAATCCAGACTATGGTACAGATTACAGATAGAGAAGGGGAACAAAAGGTGAAAATTTTAATCCTTTACAAGAAAGTGATTGCAATACATTTTTAAGAACCAATAAACAACCCTCCCCCCCTCAAAAAAAAAAAAAAATACCTGGAAGGAGACCAAGTTTCATTTACAAGTCAATGAAGCCAAATTAAAAAAGGCAAAATGACAGGAGGCTCTTCATGCTTAAAATACTTCCCGTGGTTCAAGGAGGTTCTTCCCAAAGCAGTCATCTCTGCCACTGGTTTAAAGCTGTACACACATCTGCTAATAAACTCAATGAGTAACAGGTCACTGGGCTGCACTCGATTGATATTCTTCACTCTCTCCTGCAAAAACTCCTCAGAAAAGATAATATGGCTGACATTTAAAGTATACACATACTGTGGTATTTGCTAAGGTTTTAAGCAGTTGTGAAGTCTCAAATTTTGAGGAGGTTGTTTTTGGGTTTTTTTCTGAATGCCTTATTAGCACAGAGAGGAAAAGCCAGATTCTGAGAACTTTTGAACACAATGTATTTCAGGCCTCACGTAGTATGCAATGGAAACCTGATTGCTTCAACATTTAAGTTCAGAGCTACATCTTTCCCTTTTGTGCACAGCAGTCTAAAGGGCAGATGTTGAGATCTGCCCTTTAGACTGCTGTCTAAATGCTTTTCTCACCCTGGTACTTGGCTGTCACATCTAAGACTTGGAGCAGAGCCAGAGCTAAAGTTGGAAGACACTTTTCCTTCATGTGGCTTTGGATAGCTCTCCTGACAGAAGCAGGCAGTAGAAAGGTCAGATTTTTTTCCCAACACCATAGGCATTCAAAAAAGAATAGTCAGACACAGCTTTATTTATCTTCAGTGACTGTGAAGCTATTTCATGTAGCTTAGGAAGTATTTTCAATGTATTTAAAGAGAGCTTGCAATACAAAGTTCTCTTAAACTTCACAAATGGTTATGCAGTATTGTAAAATGAAGCCTCACGAGACTAAAGTCTTTGAATTGTAAATCTGTAATGTCCAGGACCAGAATAAGCATCAATGGGAAACAGGCAGGGATGCAAAGTTGGCTTCCCTAAGTGGGGAAAATGGGAGTTCCTGAACCATCTCCTTTCTCCAATTTTATTTCTCCAAGAACAGAACCAGAACAAGTGTTAATTACAGTCACAGCTAACAGAGAAGCAGCATGTCATGAAGAAACAGGTTTGAGAGGGAAGAGAGAGAGAAAACAGATGTATACTGTGTCCATGAATTTTTAGACTTTTTTATGGGAGGGGGACAGATTTCATGCTATAATGAAAACAATCATTATTTTTCTCCAAACTACCCCTCAGAAATTGATCATGCAATTTACCAGTTTTTTCCTTTTGTTCCCATTGTGTTTTTCTATTTTTTAAACACTCTTTTGATTCTAATATCTTCAATCTTCTTTCGTGTTTATTTATTCCAATTACTTTATTCCAGTTGATTCAAACAAAAGACTGTCATTGCAGCCTAGATCTAGAAACACTCATTTTAATACTGCAGACTAAAAAAAAAGCAATTTACAACCTTCTAAATCCAAGGAGAGATAACATTTAATGTTCCCTGATAGTTATATAAGAATTTCAGAGAGTAACACTCTGAGTATATAAACCTTCTGCTAATTTATAGTTCAGAACGGATCGAAAGAAAATTAAAACTTGAAGATTGTTCCTGGTTTACAATATTTTTTAAGTTCCATTGGATTTCCTCTCTTTCAGCTGTAACTTAACAACATAGCATGATCACTTATAGGGAATGCAAGGACAGAGACATCTTGTGGTAACAAGACATTTGCAAACAAATGCACTTTTGTATGCTGAAAATTCTCTTTTGATACATGAAATAAGATAAGTATATTAAAACTTTTCAAAATAATTTCAAAACAAAAACTTTCAAATTAGAATACCAAAATGCTTCACTGATAAAAATGTTTATGATTTTGAAGAATTGTTTGGAGGTTTTCTTGACCATAGCAACATTGTTGATATTGTATGCCTGTTGAAAGAAAACCTGTCAAAGAAGACTCAGCTTTAATTTCAGCAAACACAAGCAGCTGCTGTGAGTTCAAACTACCTGGAAAAGAAATTTAACCAAACAAATATAAGCAAAATCCTTGTCCCCTTACAGAGAGATACTGAAAAATCTCCCCAGTTTTGGGGAAATTAAATGGTACATCCAAACTGCAATAAGGAAAAGTCAGGACAGATGTCTCTTCCTGTGGTGGTCCCTAAAAAAAGACCTTAGAAGTAATGATTGATGTGACACAGGCATGTCAAGACAGTGAGGACTTTCCTCCCGTGGTCAGTTTTCATGCTGGACTTCCATCATTCAGTGTCTTCACTTTAAAAAGAAAGATACCTCTTATCACCTCCATGAAACATTTGGAGTTTCTGCCAGAAGCATTATCCTCTACTTTCAATACAAATGGGATCCAGAGCAAAATGAAAATTATATTTTCACTGTTGAGAGGCTTTAGAGAGGTTTATCACAAAAAAAATGGCTACATTAAGAAAGGCATTATTATTACTGATCCATGTCAATATTAAATGCATTGGAAATGGGAATGATTACAGTATTTGTAAATTTTCAGTAATCTGGATCAGTGTATCCTGTTGTTAAACAAATGACATGGATCAATATTCTTTTAAATGAGAGAAAAATAAATAAATAATTTCTGAGTATTTAAAAACAAAATTAAGTCCTACAAAATATTGCCTAATACTGCATGACTGAGGGGTCATGAGGTTCAGGGAGATTAAACACTTCAGCTATGACTACAGATCAAGGTCAGACACCAGCTTTGGAAAAATGCCTCATGCCCCAAGCTGCAGCTTTTAACAGCAGCTGACACAGTCTTATATGGGCATATTACCCTTCAGTTTACTGGCATAAAAACAGCAATACATGAGATGCTAATCACTACAAGCTACCATAAAAAAAGAGAGAACTCTCTCCAAAAATATTTGAAACAGATGTTGAGAGCAACATTAGGCATAGGTCTGTGTTGCCCTCTGGAATGTGAGAAAAACAAATATGCTAGTATTTTCAAGTTAGAGAATTAAATTCCTGTGAGTGGATTTACCTCACTGCATCAGAAGAAGATCTCTTGTGTGATACCAAATTAATAAAGAACAATTTTGTGTCTGAAATGCTAAATGAGTTTGCAGTTACAATTGAGATTGCTATTAACTGACCTGGAAGACATCACAGGCTGTTTTTGCCAGACGTCTAGGAAGTCAGACATTTATGGAAGAGAGAGCATTCAGTCCAGGAATTTGTTGCTCCTATTGGCATTACTTTTTGTTAATATTATATCCTGTCTTCTGAGACCAAAAATATTGTCCTAAAGCAGATTTCCAAAGATTGCAGAGGAGGGAGAGAGTAGATACAGACAGGATTACTCACTTGTGCTTTCACAAAATTGTACCACATCTATTTATAGCGTCTAAAATACTGTTAAAAAATATTTGGCTAACCTTTAACCAGACACTTTTCATGTCATCAGCTAGATAGCTTAATAGCTTTTACCAAATTACCAATTATGAGTACAGCTTCAAGTCAGAACACATTGATTTTTTTTTTTTAAATCAAATGTTACACCTTTTAAAAAGACTAAACTTAGTAAAGAGAAGGCAAACATCCTGTCACTTACTTCATCCTGTATACTGTGATAACAAGGAATAATGAAACATGAAAAAAGTTCTGAGATCCTTCATTGAAGAGATAATTAGTAAGGAAATAAAGCCAAATTAAACTGCACTTGGCAACACAAGCAGTTTTGAAGTTATGTTTTCCTCTCTCACAATTGTTTTCTGCTAAACTACAGGCTTCACATTAATTGTAAACCAAAACAATAGTGCCTAGGAAAAATAATGAGTATAAAATTAGGAGAAAAATAAATGATTAATTAAGGGATTAGGGAAGTCAAAAGTTCCTGAGCACCTCTGGCTACCATTGCAGAGATGGTTGGTGACAATTAGCTCACCTGGCTTGTAGCCAAGGAAATACAGTTTCACCTAAATGGGATAAGAATAATGATGCTGCTGTTAGAAATAGAGAATTACTACTAGAATAGAATTACAGGCCTGTGAGTCTGAAAGTTCAGAACAGAGAATACAGTCCTGCAAGGGAGATAAAACAGTGACTGGTAACTCAGACATGTTGAGATACTGTAAAAAATGATGGAATTTGGCTTTGTACTTTCCTCCTGCAGAGATAATTAAGGAGAGGAAACTAGCTCACTACTTTTTCAAGGTGCCAGAATTATTTATTTGTGTAATAGAACACAAATAGAATAATGTATACAGTGGAAGACAGTATAACCCAGATGAGATCTGGATGTGCACACCTGGACACAGGGATACACAGACAGCCACTCAGCCTTCATCATGGGATGGTTGTGACCCATAAGTGATTCCCTGAGGGCATCTATAGTGTGAAACAGTCTCTAGCATCCCACTTAGCTCATCAAAATAATTATTTTCTTTGGCGTTAAGAAACAAAGCAGCTTCTTCAGGATGGTGGAAAGTGAACCAAAGAACAGAGACCCATTTACTGCTCTTTGAACCAGTGTCCTGGCACTGCCTGTGCTGCACACCCCTTCAAACCACCTTGTGTCCCTCAAGCCTTTTGCCCTCCTTCTCCTAGAAATGGTGAGTCTCTGCTTGTGAATCACATTCTAAATGACTGTATCTCAGATCAGCTGTCTCATTCCTACACTTGCAACAAGAGAAATCCAGAGGGACTTAGTTCTTGCAGAAGCAAACTTAAAAGGCTGTTCAATCAGAATTGATTACATTTACATTTTACTGTAGATAAGAAAAACCTCCTTTTATGTAATCTCTCAGAAATAACTAAAACATAAGGGAAAAAAAAACCTGAAAGAGCATAATAGGGCCATCCACATACTTCTGCAATGGTTATAGAGGAACACAAAGTTAACCTTGAAAGGAGTATACAGGTCTGCAGCTGGACCTATACTGAAAGAAAGCTTTCCAATCTCCTTTTTGCTGTCACAGGTATACTGCTGAATACAGAATATTTTAATTGAAAGTGCAACAATTATCCTGTGTCCTCATCTTTCTTAAGCACACCTAATAAAATATTTGCAGGGACTTCTTGAAGGGGAAGGAAAAAGCATCTGAAATACAATTATAGACCTCAGGAGTGTACTACCTAGCTAAGTATTAATAGTGCTAATTCTTCTTCAGAACTGGAGATCAGTTCAGAAAAAATAAACCTCTAGCATTTCAACAAATGCATACATGGAATATCAGAGCACTGTCATGACTGGAGCAAGTAAGAGAAAATGGAGGGAAAAAATGGTTCAGGCAAGAGAGAAAAGCAGAAGATATGAAGAATAAAGTGGTTAAAACAAACAATGCTGACATGAAAAAATACCTTCCCCCAAAGGTACTCATTTCTATTGGCTTTCAGGCAATGTGTCA